GAAGGTTCCGCTCGAAAGACAGGGACAAGGACCCTCTGGAGGAGAAGGCAGAATCGACCGTGGACACGCCCGACAAGCCCTTTGCCCGCTGTCGCCCGATGGGAGTTTGGATTCGGGAGGAGCTGCGGCTGAGCTCGTCCGGGCCTCGAGCGTCTGGGAGATTCCAGAGTCCAGCTTGGACAGCAGCTCGGAGAGGCTGTAGTCCTTTGTCGAAGGCCGGGGCCCGAGGCTCGCTTGAGGGGGCGTGGACACAGGCGCCTGCAGGATGAGCACAGGGAGGTGGATGAGGCTCCGTCCGCCACCCCAGGGGGGAGGGGGAAGGGGGAAGGCAGAGGAGGGGAGGGGAAAATGCGGTCCTGGTTTGTCACGCTGGAACTAACGCCTGCTGTCATACGCATGACACCCTGGAGCCCAATGACACCGCACTGGCCCATTGGGTGGGAAGACCAGGTAAGGAAAGACTGGCCTGACAAAAAAGCGGGAAGCCCGGCACCAGGCTGCCCTGGACCCCGTCCGCACAGGGTATGGCACACGGCATTACTTGGACAAAAGGCGGAGGGCGGGCCTGTGGACAGGCTGCAAAAGCATGAAGCTGGTTGCTGGGCCGTGTCCATCAGAACAGGTCAGTGCTGGTAAGAAACGAAGAAAAGAGGTGGGACTGGGGCTCCCGGGACTGGGGCTCCCCCGCCCTCCCCACACTGTCTGCAACCTGCGACCTCTCCTTTGAGCTATGCACGTCTGGCTTGGGGCCCGGTTTGGACAAGGGCGGGGCAGGGCCCAGCTACAGTGACAACGCTGTGACCCACCCTCTATAGCAGCGGTCGCCAACCTTTCGGACCTCACGGACCACCAGTGGTCTGCGGACCACCGGTTGGCGACCGCTGCTCTATAGGGCCTCCTCTAACAAGGACGGAGGCAGATTTCTGGTAAGTGATCAAAGTCTGAGGTGACTCAGGACTCTTCCCACATCGGGCCCATGTGACCCCAAACCCTCCCTCTTCTGGGAACTGCTCGTCTGCTCTGAGTTGGTGTTTGGTGCGCGGAGTCACACCCACTTGTTGGATGCCTTTCTTTTCCTTGGGGGGTGGGGAGGGCCTGGCTGCCTCCCCGGGACACCTTTGCTCCCCAACCTCACGCACATGCTGTTCAGACAGTGGAAACACACACCATAAATGCTCACGTCACCCCAGCCTCACACCAACGGCCCGGGGTGCACTGCCCAACAGCAGATAACACGCTGTAAGGTTAGTGATTACCAGGCTTCACCTTACAGGTCTAGTGCCTGAGCGTACTTAGTGTGACCTACCCTTGGAGTATCTTATCACCTTACATCACCCGTGTGGCACTCACAGAACAAATCATTCATGACAGGCAAACCCCAGAGCCCAGGTGCGCCCCCTCTGCCCCCCCAACAGGGCCTGGCAGGCAGGGCTGGTTCAAAGGACATCCACCTGGCGGCATTAGCTTTCCAATGTCACTGTTCATTTGTAACCAGACAGGTGGTGGGGACAGGACACAGCCAGGCAGGAAACATCTGGGGCCACCGAGCCTGCCAGGGGACCCGCCATCCTATCCCTGGGCACAGGACTCCCGTGACTGACTGATGTGAGTGGGGCTCCCAGGGCAGGCTGAGCCGCAGAACGAGGGCACGAGGACCCAGGCTGGTGGCAGAGTTTGTGGAAAAGGGCCTGGGGTTGGAAAACTCAATCTCCACGCGGCACAAAGGCCACCCCGGGAGTCCCCGTACCTCCGTCTTGGGCTCCGGAGGGTCTTTTACATCCAGGTCCTGAGTTGCCTCTTTCACCTCATCGTCGGGTTTCTCACACAGGTCCTCCGTCTCCGAAGTGATTTCTTTGGGGGAGAAAACAAAGAAGGGCTCGTCACTTGGACAATGACCTCCGCATACACTCCATACTAACGTGCCACCTCGAGGATGGAACAGGGACAAAAGAAGTGACACCCCAAAGCACCCATAACTCAGGGACCCAGGCAGCACGGGTCTCTCCACGGCTGGCCCCAGCTGAGCTCACAGGTCACCACCATCCCCCACAGGGACCAAACCGGGGCCTCCCGTCAGCGACTTCTGCAGGTCTCACCTGACTCCAGCAGGAGTCAAGGTGTTCCAGGTTCCCAGAGAAGCCCTCAGGAGTAGGGAGGGGGAGAGTGCAAGCCCACCAGCACCCGGCACAGGAGCCCCCGTTCATGTGTCCCCCTGAGCTTTAAATGCAATGGTCGGTTTCAATTCCATCAGGATCTCTTCCCAACCAAACGACACACCCGTTCCATGGGGACAAGACCCCGAGAAAAAGGCAAAGAAAGCCTCAGGCCAGAAGTCACACCAGCCCTCCAAGAGGCATCTGTACGGGAACCTGAACTACCACGCACAGGCTCCTCTGGGCAGCAGGCCCAGCCCTGGCTGCAGCGGGGGTGGGCGGCTAGAGCTGACCTCCAGTTCCAGCTGCCCACCCCGGCCCTGTCACCGAGGGCCATGGGCCGGTGCCAGGCCAAGCCGATCCTGCAGGCCTGGCTGGGGACACCGTCTCTCACAGCCTCCTCCTCTGGCCCTCTCCCCAGCCCCGTCCTGGTCATCTCGCCTGGGACACCCGCAGGTGGACCGAGCAGCCACATTTGGGAGCACTGCACCGGCGCCGTCTCCGGTCTCACCTTGGAAGGTGGGCCGCTCTCGGGGGTCCCCGTGCCAGCATCTCTGCATGAGGCGCAGCAGGTGGCTGCAGGCCCGCGGCCTGGCTCTGCAGACGGGCGGCAGCTCCGGGCGGTGGCCCTTCACCACCTTCACCATGATGTGCAGGATGTTTTTCTCATCTGCAAGGGAAAGGCACACGAGTCAGGGCAGAGCTGGCCCCTTATCTCCGGGGGAGACACAGCTGTGGGGAAGCGCCGAGGGGCATGTCTGGCCTGGAGACCACTGATTCTTCCGAAAGCACAGGGCTTCCGTTAACCTTATGTTCACGGGGCACATCTGTTCTCCCCGCCCAGGATTTAGAAACGACCTAGCAGCTCCCAGTGGGATCCTCATGCTGTATCACAAGGGAAATCTTTCTGGGCAGCCAACGCAAAGGCAACCAGGTTCAAAGTATCTGACGAGACATGTTCCGAGTGGCCGTGCCCACCAGGGGAGGCACCCGTATCCATCCTGGGGTGGCATGGCCCAGCCCCCAGGTGCACCCACGTCTCCCTGGGATGACACCAGTCTTCCTGAATTCCAAGTCCTATCCCCAAGTGCAGACCCCCAGCTGGCCTCTGCAGTGCTCAGGTCTCAGGTGGGCAAATAGGGGCCTTTCCCCCCAAAATTCATCACATGGGGCCCCACCTGTCCTCCTTTCCAACATCCTTCAGAGACACACCTGGGCTCATTAGCATATCATCACCATCATCATCATCCTGGTCACAGGCTGAGGGGACCCAGGGGACCCTCAGCGGGCCAGACTCCTTTCTCTGCTCAGCCTACACCACATTGTCCGTGAAGCTGGATTCCAAGAATCTTGCTCCCACCAGACCTCCCACCCCCGCAGCTCTCTGCTTTCCCACGGAGCGCAGGAGTCTGCGTCCGGGCAGATCAGCAGGTGTGGAAAATTGGCCCAAAGTCCCCGAGCGCTGCTAGGATCCGGCTCTGATGTTTTGTTCCACTTCCCCGTTACATCTTGTGCAATAACTATCTCAGGTATCTACACATTATTTCCATGAGCACTCAGACTTCCAAAAACCCAACATACACTAAACACCTGGAGGATGTCCTGCTCCCACACAGATGGGAAAAGTCCACCAGACGCCTTCTGCTCCCGCACCTTGAACTCGCCTATCTACCAAGCAATAGAGCACGGGGCCCCAGCCTCCCGGTGTCAACATCAGGCACCTGGCCTTGGGTGTCGTGTCCACCAGATAATGTCATGCCAGACTAGCTTGCGGCCACGCAGACGTAATCCAGACCATGGACCTCACAGAGGAGGGGGGTTAGGAAACCGGGTGCCGGGTGGAAGGACAATATGGACAGAACCCTACCACGGCCTCATCTGCGTCTCAAGCAGCAAAGGCTCCAGGACCTGGGGCCCCCGGTTGACTGTGACCTGCATTTTTGGGGTATTACTGGTCAGGCCACAATATTACAAGTGGCCCAGATATGCTTACAGAGGAGAAACTCTCCAACAAGGCAAAAAAGTGCCCAACTTTTACAGTAAGTGCAGTACCAAGTCGAGGCAGAAACCAGAACAGCGTCTGACTAAAGGGGGAGAAGTACTTCAGCTCTGGAGCGGGTGCTGGTGACCCGGGTCACCCATTCGTGTCAAAATCACTGGCATTGGAGGCCCAGCACTAGGAGTGGACTTTACATGAGCAAACTGTACACTTAAAAATGGTTAAGGTGGTCACTGTCACGTTATGTGTAACATAATTAAAATCACAATTAAAACTTACAAAATGTAAAAAAGAAAAAGAACTGGCTGGGAGCAACCACAACAGGCCAATGCACAGGCAGAAAGCAGATTAGCAGGTGCTGGGGGTTGGGGTGAGGGAGGTGGAGTGACTGCTTAATGGGCACAGGGTTCCTTTGGGGGGATGAGAATGTTCTGGAACTAGAGAGTAGTGGTGACTGTACAACACTGTGAATGCACTAATAAATGCCACTGAACTGTGCACTTTAAATGGTTATAATGATCAATTTTATGTTTGTGTATTACATCACACACGCAAAAGAATTAGCTGGCACCTGAAAACTCCACTGAGCAGAGCCCTCGGGTCTGTGCCTCTTCCTGTACATGAATGACACCTCAAGGACATTCCATGGGCACACAGGACCACCTGCCGTGGGTCTCGTGCCAACCTGGTGGGCAGGACAGAGCAGCCCCGCTCCCTCAGGGCAGCGCCACCGTGGGCATGTGGACCACGGGCACGGCTAAAGCAGAGGAAGTGCCGCACAGCATGCCCGCCCCCGTCCCGGGGGAGACAGAGGCACAGCCCCCAAAGGTATGTCCACTCACCTGCAAATGGCTTCTTCTGCGTCAGCACACCCCAGATCACGATGGCGAAGCTGGAGGGAAATCGGCAGGTTAGTGTCTGTGAATAGAGCAAAAGTGCTCACTCAAAGCAACACGTGTGAAGAAAGCCACTCCGGCCTTCAAAACAGAGAGATGACACCAAAACGTTTCTCATGATTTTTTTTTTAAACAGGCACATGATTGGGGCACATGTCCCATTGGTGGCTCAGGTGTTAAACAATGGACCACACCTTGCCAGTGAAGCTGTAAGTTCCACCACCACGCGGGAACCCCGGAAAGGCTGCCACCGTCAGCTCGTGGGCAGAGGGGCCATCTTGGCTGAGTTCACATGACCTCCCTCAAACACTGGGCGCCCCGTGCTGACTGCAGCTCTGGGCCTGGCATAACTTGCCCACTGAGAGTCCATCAAGGGCTGAGAAAGTGCACGGAAAACATGCTGGCAACCAGATGAGCCTTCCTGAGCCCTTCTTGGTTGCTGGAAATTATGTACAGGGTGTGGCAAAAGGTTTACAGTTGTGAGTTGGCAGAACAGTTTATTCTTGTATTATTATTTATTAATCATTGTATTATTTTCTATAAGAACAACAGTAAGCCTATTTTTGCCCCACCCTGTATACATAATATAGAAAATTACTGTGGATGCACCAACAAATAGCTCAATCTGATAAATTTTTTAAAAATTCTATAATAATAAAAGCATAATATGCTAATTAGACTGGACAGCCAAACGACCTTCCGGGGATGTCCTTCCAGATGAAGCCGCAGTGGTGGGGGTGACACAGAGGTGGTTAGGGGCGATCAGGCAGGCAGGCCAGCAGTTAGGGGCAATCAGACAGGCAGGCAAGTGGTTAGGGGCAATCAGGCAGGCAGGTGAGCGGTTAGGGGTGATCAGGTAGGCAGGCAGGTGAGCAGTTAGGGGCGATGAGGCAGGCAGGCGAGTGGTTGGGGCAATCAGGCAGGCAGATGAGTGGTTAGGGGCGATGAGGCAGGCAGGCAGAGTGGTTAGGGGTGATGAGGCAGGCAGGCAGAGTGGTTGGGGCAATCAGGCAGGCAGATGAGTGGTTAGGGGCGATGAGGCAGGCAGGCAGAGTGGTTGGGGCAATCAGGCAGGCAGATGAGTGGTTAGGGGCGATGAGGCAGGCAGGCAGAGTGGTTAGGGGTGATGAGGAAGACAGGTAGGCGAGCGGTTAGGAGCCAGCGGTCCCGTACTGCGAGAGGGATGTCTGACTGCCAGCTTAGGCCCAATCCCACAGGGATCCCGAATTTCGTGCACCAGGCCTCTAGTAAAATATAAAAAAAACAGGAGTCCAAACACTGAGCCCCACCCTGCCCTGAGTTGACAGCCGCTGTTGACAAGAAGTCTCCATTGAATATTAATGAAAATTTATGCATTCAGGCTTTTAAACTCTCCGCTCCAACATAAATAATCGGATTCCCCTGAACCCTGCAAGCTGTGACAAGCACCCCAGTGCCATTCGCCAGCAGCCTGCAGCTCCAAGCCTGCTCAGCACATGCACAATGGTTTTATTGTCAAACCAGTCCGCCAGGACTCAGGCAGGGACAGGGACAAAAGGGAAAGCTCCGTGCTCCCTCCGGGGCTCAGGGCCACAGTCCCCTGTGCCCTTGCGTCAGACAACAGCCACAATGAGGGGCTTAAGGGCCTGCGTGCAGCCTCCCTCCCTCTTTTCTCCTCCCAGAATCTTTGTCATCAGGACCTTTACAATTTGGAAAGGGAAGGCCCGAACGACTCGGGACCTGTGTGCACAAGAATGTTTAAAACATGCAGTACCTGCCTATTTGGTCAGGGACACTGACCTCTTCTTCCTTTGATTGTCAAATTAAGAAATAACAACAGCCAATGCAACAATAGCCATTCGGTGTGAACGAATCAAAATTATACCTATTTTTTGTCAGATTGGCAAAAAAATCTATTTTTTGGTGTGCCGCAGAATTCTAGTAATGAGTGTCTGTGCCACGGGAGGAGAAAGGCTGAAAACCGCTGCTCTAGCGCACAATGCACTGACGCTCACCTACAAACAGGCTGCGGCCGTCTGTGCTCCTGTCGAAGGTAAGTGACGACAGGAGGTACAGGCTGCTGGGCCCAGGGGACTAGGCATAGGAGAGCCTGAATCACAAACACTTAAAGCAGCAGCTTCTTTCCACAGACAAGATACACGACCCACGGTTTAAAGCGGGTTTACAGTGCGGAAGTCGTCAGTCTGTTATGTAACTGGCCCTAATGGCATCCATTCACATCCTCCACCCATGGCCAGCAACAGGCACATCCTGTGTTCCTAGGAGAGTCTGTATACCTGGGGCAGCCTATACCCACCGGCTAACAACCCCAAACCCTTTCATTTAGACTGAACCTCGTATCTGATGGTAGCAAAGAGTCTCTGGGAAAACTGCCCTTCAGAGCATGAAGAATTGGGGTAGAGAGACCCTGCGGTCTGCACAGCTGTACACACCTGTACACGTCGTGCTTGGTGTCAAAGAGCCGGCTCTTCTCTCGGATGCGCTCTGGAGGCAGGTAGGCGATGGTCCCGAACAGGCCGTCCATGCTGAGGTCGTGTGAGTGGGACAGCCCGTTGCACTTGGCCAGCCCAAAGTCAGAAATCTGCAACAGAGCGGGCAGAGGCGGCTCAGCAGGCGCTGGGGCGCTGTGCCGGGCACCGCACTGCGGCTGCCACTTCAGAGGCCTGGTCAACATCCCGCCACGCCTGACGGTACGGGTCCCCGACACCCGAGAGCGAGCCATGACCCGTCTCCCTGGGCAGGCGGGCAGGCGAGCAGGCGAGCACGGAGGCTTCGGAAGACCAGTCTGAAGCCATTAGGAGCTGATGGATGGGGGGGAGTGATGCTTTAAGGAAGGAATTCACCGGGAGCAAGAAACCAGGAGAACTGTCAACTGCCTCTGTCCACAGCCCACGTCGGCATGAGGGCAAAAGGCAACGCTTAGCGTTTCCGGGTTTTCAGACGACACATGAAAGCGAGGCTGACCAGGTTGGTGCTCAGCAATCCAGTTCCGCAACCGGGCCAGCTGGGCAGGCGGGCAAGTGGCAGCAGGCTCTTTAAAGGGAACTGCACCTTCAGAAGCCCTTTAAAGCCAGCAAAACACACACCACACAACCTCGTCCTCCACCTGGAACGTTCTCTGATCAACAGACGCTTGCTGACTCCTCCACTAAACATGGCACCCAAATCAAGGGCGGAAACACATCTCCTCCGTCCCAGGGGCTCCCAGCCTGGAGGGGCGCCTGGAGCCCAGACACTCGGCCCACCTCCACCTCCTCATCTCCTTTGCACAGAGGTGTCCTAATAGCTCCCAGACCCCCCACTGGAGGAAGTGAAAGCCACACAGACTCCTGGGGGGATCCTCGCTGCCCCTCAGGCCCCCCACATCCTCGGGAAGCGCTGTGTGTGGGACTAGGCCACAGGCGCTGGCATTAAGGGGCTCAGAATCCACATGGAAAACAGCCCCTTTATATTCTCCTTCGAGGCTTATGGATTCCTTTAAGCCTCCCCATCAGCTCTAGACTCCTCCTCAAACACTCCTGTGGAGCGACAGGAACTGGGGCTGAGCCAGGACTTAACTCTGGGCTCACTGTGCCAGCTCACGGGTGAGCCAATGTCCCGATGTCGTCATCACCGCTGAAGGCAGGGAGAAGCCAGGACTGGCAGCCCGATCCTTCAGGGGCCTCTGACCACCTCTGCAGGGAGGTGATGGGAAGAAAGCCTGCCAGAGTGGACCCGCCCCGGCTTCTGTGACCAGGCTGTGCCAGGCATGGGTCCACCAGGGAAGCCAGCCTGGGCACTTCTGGGCCCCTGGCAGCTGTCCGTTCCCTGGCCTTCAAGAAACTCCCCACTCTGGAAAGGAAAGCGCCAGTTCCCCAGAATGAACCCACCACCCCGACCCTGCAGATCCATAAAGCAGCTCACGGCCATGCCGGCATCTTGGCACCCACCGCCCCACCTCATGGGCAGCCTTTTCCCTTCCTTTCTGCCACTTTCCGACATAGCCACCAGCTTTAAATGTACTCGGTGAAGGAAAATTAGCATAAATTCTATGTTAAAAGCTCTGACATAAAAATGCAGACTCAGAAATCAGAATTCCCTGATGGCCGCTGACCCTCCGCCTGCAGAGTTCTCCTCCTCCCCTCCAGCCCTTTCCCACCTTCCCTGCAGGGCCTGCCTGGCCTGTGCTCCCCCACCCACCCCCTGCTTCCTCAACAGCAGGACTGGGGCCATCCCTGGGAATGGCAAACACCCGTCCAGCGGGACCGGACCAATTCAGGGCATGGCCAGGGCTGTGCTGCCTGAGAGAGAAAGGCCCCTGTAGACCAAGGGGACCAGGGCCCTCGGAATCTCCCGGGATATAGTCTCGTCTAGGCAAACTGGGGCACAGGTGAGTCTGAGATTTTAAACAAAGTTATTTCATCTTCAGCTTGAAATGGGTCTACTACTCACACATTAAAGACAGCATTTTAATATTTAGTACATTAATATTACTATCAAGTATTAACTGAGCATTGTCTCTAATACACTTTGCAAAGCAGATGGCTGCGTGAGATCTCCTGCTCGGATCACCCTATCTGTGGACAAAAGGTCGCCTTCAGGGCCCAAGGGCAGGCTGACACCTTATCTCATTTCAGGATTCTAGAATAAAGGTTTATTGCTTCAAGTTACCACGACTGCAAAGTGCCCAATTGGCCAATCAATGACTTAGAACCTCAAACAAGGCCCCATGCCCTCCCACACCCTATTAGCGATTTCTGAGAAAGCAAGATGCGAGTTATGTAAGTACATTTTCTGTTTGTTTGGGGCTGTGCAAGGTGACTAATGTGCCTGATTAAGCAGGAGTCACAGAAAAGCTGCCACTCGGGCCTTTCGGGGTGCCCTGGGCGTGGAAGCAGCAGCGACACCTCGCTCCCTGTCACGGAGACAGGTCCATGCAGGCTCCTCCCCACTCGTGGCTCAGCCATTCTAGGCTCCTTAATAAGGCCCCACTCTTTAAGGAATCCTCACTCACCTATTAAACTGGCAGGTGGTTATAAGGAGAGAGAGGGAAGTTCACACAGGCCCCGCGAGAGCCAGTGCAGAAATGACCCACAAGGACAGCAAGGCCACGGTGTCAGAGAGCAGACACCACACTCAGCTCCTTATCCAGCCAGTATTAGGTGCCTGCCGTAGACCCGGCGTGGGGACCCTCCCTAGATATATATGTCAACAGCCCAGACGTGGGAAGATGACTATCTCCTGGCCCCCAAAATGCCAACACCAAGGACACCAACCCTCATGAGCACTTCCACTGGCCAAGCACTTGTCACTGACCCCTCACAACAACAGGGAGGCACGACCCCACCACCAGGGGACAGCCTAGAGAGGACCCTCGGAAGGAAGGTGTCACTGGGGCTGTCTAGGGATGCCCCACACATTCCACACGACTATTAGGAGAGTGGGAAGGGAATGGGTTGATATGAAAGCCCAGCCAGGCCAGTTAGGGCCCGTGACACTGGGGCCACCTCAAAGGCACCTGCTGCAGACACATCTGTCCGAATGCCTGGTGCCCACCTGCCAGCCCTCAGGAAAGCATGTTCCCAACAGCCTCTCTCACAACACCACTCAGCAGTCATTAACGCCGGGGGAGGGAAAGACCTCCCCAACCCCCCTACTCCTGCTGTTCCCCCAAAACCCAGCATTTCCGATTGTTCCCGGGCTGCTTCCTCCACCTAAAGGCTCTTCTGCCTGCACCCCCGCTGCTGACAGCAGGGAAGTCTGGTGCTCTATGAAGACTCGGCCCCCACCCCACGCTGGGTGAGCCTGGCCATGATTTAACCCTCTGAGCCTCAGCTCAGCCGGAGCTGGGGGCCACCGCCCACTCGGTCCCCTGCTTTGACCATCGGGGCAGCTCCTGCAGGCAGGGCCTCTGGCACACAGCGGGGGCCTGTCACCACCTTCCCTTTCCTGTCTGCAGTCAAGTTTGTGAGCTAAGGTTTCATCTGCACTGGCCCCCAGGGGATCGCACACGCTGGTGAGAACTGTCATGTCCGTATGTGCAGGCAGCGCCACTGACCACAAGGAAACAGGACAGGACAGCTTCCATCCTCAGCTAAAACCTTGTTACGAGCGACACCTATTTAAGGGACAACTTGTAATTAGTGTGCAAAGTGAAAACAGCATTTCCCCACGGCCTCAGGCTGGCTCAGCCAGGAGAGGTGCCTGCTATGTAGACTGGCACAGGGAGCGGCCTTGTGTGTGGGCCACCCAGAGCCACTGACCTGTCACAGGTGAGAAAGATGAGGGAGCCAGGGGCAGGGCGGGACTGAAATGGGGTCCCTCCTCAGGCCAACAGGCAGGGGTCCTACCAGTGCAGCAGATCAGCCAAGTGTCAGAGCACACAGGTGAGTCCCTTCACCTGGCCCCAGCGTGAACCAGAGGACTCAGGCCAGTGTGGATGGAATCCTTCTCCCTCATGCAGGATGAAGGGAAAGGGCCCCCCGAGAAGGTGAGCACCCCCATGTGGGGAAAAACCAAGAAGAACCCAGCACACGAAGGCCTGCCAGAGACACATTCACAGACACACAAACCTGACAACACACCTGACTACCAACTCCAGGTGGCTGGCATCTGCCTTTTAGTTCTGTTCTTCTTCATACTTTTGTTTTATAAACTTATCAGAAACAGAATAAGAAAGAGCAGCCCTCACAGGCCTCACGTCACTGGAACAGAATGAGCCCCATCAGAGCCCCATGCCAGGACTGCACCTCCATCTCAGAGCACCCCACATCCCCTCTGCCAGCCCCTGTAACCAGCGAGGGGTACAGCCCGAAACTATGTCTCACACCGAGATGGCCAACCCCCCGCCTGATCTCTCGGGTCATTTCCTAGGACATCCACTAAGACCAGATCCGCAAATCCACAATCTTTTGCCGGGGTGCACAGAATTTAGAGCCAGGTTCCAGGATTTGGGGGTGTGACTTGCGTTCAGAGTCCACTCACACCAACCATGACAAGACAAGGGGATTCCAGACATCCTCAGGCTTAAGAGAGGCCTCTCTGCTCAAGCTCTCTTCCATGAGGACCACATCCTCGCCCACCCTTGTCCACACTGCCCGAAGGTTCCCCTGAACCCCGAGTTCCCCTGCGCTCTTGTGGCACTCACCGCCCCACCCCCCCAGGACCCACGGGAGGCCCTACCTTGACGTGGTAGTGCGCATCCAGCAGGATGTTTGCAGGCTTGAGGTCCAGGTGCAGCAGCGGTGGGGACATGCAGTGCAGGAAGTTCATGCCCACCGCCGTCTCGTGGATGATGCGGAAGCGCAGGTCCCACGGCAATGGCTCGGAGGCCAGCAGCTTCTCCAGGGAGCCCGTCTCCATGAACTCCATGACCAGGCCAACAGGGTCACGGCAAATGCCGTACACAGGCAGGATGTATCGGAACTTGGCCATCTCCATCTTCTTCGCTTCTTCCAAAAGCTCCAAGCGCTCCCTGCAAAAGGTCAACGGCGTGAGCAACGCACACTGGTCACCTGGCCACAACACAAAGCACCGTGGCCAAAGAGATAAGCCGGTCCACAGAGCTGACAAAATTACTAAAACACACCCAGTGGCTCACTTTAATGTGGCGCAACTGAATTCTGGGCTGCCCACGATCTTCAGTCCCACAGCTATCCAAGCACACCCGGTTATTATCTGAAAAGCCACAGGCAGCACGGAGCCAAGTCCTGCTCAGGGACCAGGGGAGGAGGTGGATGCTGGGAATCCCTTCTGTTGGATGAGGGAGGAGAAGTTGAGGTTCCACTGAAAGTTATAGCAAATTATCCACATGAAGAATCTAACCCACCTTTTTTTTTGTTAAGGCCAACAATTTAGGTGGCCCAGTTATGCCTAAGTCCAACCCCAAAGTTAAATCAATGGCACATTCATCTAATGCAGGGGCTGCAGAATGCTGCCTGAGAGCCACTTTTTGTCAACCATTTTTTAATCTATAGTAAAATATACATAATATACTCTGTGTCATTTTAACCATTCATATGTGTACAATTCAAAGGCATTACATACAGCAGCAATGTTGTACAACTATCACCACTATCTACACGCAAAAGTTTTGCATTATCCCCAAAAGAAATTCTGCACCCATTCAACGTAACACTTTCTCCCAGCACCCACCCCACCAACACTTCCCTACTTTCTGTCTCTAGGAGTTTGCCTCCTCTAGGGGCCTCACAGAAGTGGAATCTTATAGTGTTTCAGTAACTGGGCCTGTTTCACTAATCACAATGCTTTCAATTGAGGTCCATCTGTGTTGTGGCACATGCTGTATGATATTCCATCGCAGGAACACACCACATTGCGTTTATCCACTCACCTACTGATGGACACCTGTGCTGTTTCCACCTTTTGGCTATTGCAGGGATGGGGAACATCAGGCCCGCGGGCCGTATGAGGCCTGAGAAATCATTTGGTCTGGGCCTGCCAAGGCATTGAGGGTGAGTTAATTAAATGTTTGACCAAACACAGCAGGCTTATTTTTAGGTTGGTAATTTTGTACGGCCTGGGAATGATGCTATAAATACCCACCTGGCCCCTGGCAGGAGAAGGTTCCCCACCCCTGGGCCATAGTGACTAATGCTGCTGGGAATGCGTGGTGCACAGTATCTGTTCCAGTGCCTGCTTTCACTTGGGATATACATCTAGGAGTGAACTGTTGGGTCATGTGATAGTTCTATGTTTAGCCTTTTGAGAATCTGCCAAACAGTTGTCCACAGCCTGCCCGTCTTCCCTGAAGACAGTCTCACCCATTCCTGTGGCTGCGGCTGCATTCACACTCCAGGCAGAGAGGAGTAGTTGCAACACAGACCCTCCGGCCTACACAGCCTGAAATATTTACTCTTTAGCCCTTCAAGAAGGTGTGCAACCCCGGGTCTAAGGTCACTTCCTGGAGCAGCCTGTGGATTTGCAGACTAGATCCCAGGGCCTTGGTCGGTGTTAGCATTTTAGACTAAAATCTCTGAGCGCATTCGGGAAAAAGGCCAAATCCTATGAGGACAGGGCTTGACCATGGGTGATGCAGGTTGGCGGTTCCCAAGCCCAGCTCCTGGAGAAGGGGTTCTGGGTGGGAGCTGGGGAACCTGCCTTCCCAATATGCTCCTAAGGAAAAAGCCCAGAACCACAAGCCCAGACGTGCCACGTGGAGCTGGGAACACTTAGACAACAGGCTGGGGCGGCCTCGAGGACCCCCCACCCCCAGAATGCAGACTCCAATACAAGCAGCCCTGCGCCTAACCCAAAACCGGCTAGTTCCCACCACAGGGTCTTCCAGAGCTTGGATGCACCTGCCCGCCACCTGCAGCCGCTCCCACTCCCTGGCCTGCTACAGGGTCCTGCCGGAGAGTCCGTTTCCTATTGATCTGCCTCCCCTTTGGGACACAACACGCTCCCAGGCGTCCCCGACAGTTATGAAAACACTGCCCAGGGAGGAGGCGGCCAGCAAGGAGGGGCCAGGATTACACTGTTTACCAAAGGCTGCAGCACCCAAGCTCAGCCTGCACTCAGCACTCACTGGGGACACTCCCATTCAGGCCCCGGGGGCTCGGCAGGAGCTCAGCCCCTCTGCCCACCCACCTGTCCAACCCAGCCCCATGTGAGTGTAGTGGGGCCTGCATGGTGGGGTCTGGGAAAGGATCCCTGTGTGCAGACCAGTGACGCTCACCTAGGGACACCTAGGGACGACCTCGCCCCCAGGGGACCACAGGCACTCTCTGGAGACCTCTGGTTGTCAGAATGGGGGCTGGCATCCAGTGGGTGCAGGCCAGGGATGCTGCTCCGCACCCTGCAAGGCCCACAACAGCCCCCGAGACACAGTGCCAACGGTGCCAAGTCTGAGAACCCCCGGAACAGACCAAGTCAATGCGTTTTCAGGGCAAATTTAAAATAAACCACTAGTCTGGAATCACCCACTTAAACACGCCCAGCACTTCCTTGAATTTTAAGCCGGATCTAATTAAAAGTCACTTACTGACAAGTAATTACTGAGCACCTCCTCTGTATTAGAATTGATAAACAAACCCCTTCCCTCCCTTCCCCAGGTTCACTTTCCAGGGGAGATGGGAAATTCCCCCAGTCCAAGAAGGGTAGCTGAAAAGCGGGGTCCGGTGAAGAGGAGGCGAAGGGGCTTCGGAGGGACTTTATAAAGGGGGCCCCTGCCCCGACCGGGGAAAGGGCACGGGGGCCCATGGGGGCTCCACAGGGGGGCGGCCCCCTCCCGGGGCCCCAGCCCGGGGGGAATCCTTCAGCCTCCATGCCTGCCTGGATGTGAAGGAGGGAGGCAGCAAGGCCCCCCCTGCCCCCCGGGGGTTCCCATTAATGATCCAGCACCCAAGGGGAGCCGGGGGGGGGGGGGGGGGTCAAGAGTTTGGTGTTTAACAGGCTCAGGAGTGAGGAAGACCCACTGGCCTAAGAAACAAGTGAAGCACGAATCGGAAGTGAACCATGACATCACTACAAAACAGAACCGAGTGCAGCCTGACTTGCGACTTGCTTCCTTAGCGCTCTGCTCACAGACACAGCCAGTTCATGGAAAGCAAGACGTCCACAGAGGGCCCTGCCAGCTGTGTGGGGCCCCCAGGCAGGGCTGTGAGCTGCTCCCCGACTTTGGCAGGACCTCTGTAGGTTCCCTGCCTGGCCCAGGCCGGCCAGCCCCTCCCTGCAGCCTAGCACGGAGCCAGGCGTGGGGACGGACGACACAGACACCAGCCCTCGAAAAGGGGAAAGGACTGGTGCGAAGGTCAAGCATCGTTAAAACGAAGCTGGTCACTTAAGAAGGAGAGAGAAAATGACACCCCTGAGCCGGCTCCTGTCTCCTCCGGGGAGGCCTGGTTTGTTCTCTACACAACAGGCTCTCCCTGCTGTGCAGATGGGGGTCAGCATGGCTGCTACTCCTCTCCTCTCTGTTAGGAATCAGCTCTGTAGCTGTCTGCTCCTATTGACTCGTGTGCCCTTCCTGGGGCGCCGCGCCCACAGGCACTGGCATGTGACCCGCTTCCAGGGCAGGCGTGTGGGCCTGGAGCACAGGTGTCCGCAGGCTGGCCCTGAAGAGGACCATTCCCCACTATAACAGACATTCTTAAATGAGTCCTCTCTGCCAAACCTGACTGATAACAACCCCAATCATCCGAAGGCTGAAGATCTTACGAAGCAAAAGCTCCCAGCCACGCTGCAAATAAAGATTTCTTCCATTTGCCCAAAGGGCTTAACACATAAAACCCGGGTGACTTCTGATCGCTGAGCTCATTAACACATCACTCCTCCCCTCCCACCTCGAGTTCAGCCAGTTCGTGGCTCTCGCCCCAGCCCGGGGCCCTTCCACCAAACAGAGACCCCGTTTACCTCAGTTTCAAAAACTCAAATAAAAAGAGCCGCTGCTGGTTTGCCCAGAAAGCTGATCAGAGCTCGGACGTTCTAAGGGAGCCCGTCTCCTCTTTGGAAGCAAGGCACAAATGACACGGGACACTTCTGCAGAGAAAACCAGGTCTCCTGGAAACGAAGTCAGCCTCCAGGCACAGATCACCTTCCCGGGGCAGCCTCACAGCAGAGGAAGGGGAGCCTGGGACCGCCCAGCAGCAGGTTCATGGGGACTCGGAGGCCGGCCAGGTGGCACAGGCCCGGGAGTGGGGTTGGCCAGCACCCCCTAAAGCAGCGGTTCTCAACCTGTGGGTCGAGACCCCTTTGGCGGTCGAACGACCCTTTCACAGGGGTCGCCTAAGACCATCCTGCATATCAGATGTTTACATTATGATTCATAACAGTAGCAACATTACAGTTATGAAGTAGCAACGAAAATAATTTTATGGTTGGGCCACAACATGAGGAACTGTATTTAAAGGGCCAGAAGGTTGACAACCACTGCCCTAACGGGTCAGCAAAAAAAAAAAAAAAAGTTCACCCGTTTATATTTCAGCAACTACCAACCCAAATCCAAACGGCCCCAGGCTCTAGGACTTTCTTCAGTTGCTCCTGGGGCACCCCACTCCTGCTAGGAAGCCCCAAGGGCCACCCACCACCAGCCCTGTCCGCATCGGATCGGGTGTCTAAGCGACATTTGCAATTCAATAAGCCTGAAAGGGGCCCTGGGGAGCCGCAGGAAAAGACGGAAAAAGTGACCCTCCAACGGAAAGAAACCGCCAATTGTTTCCTGTCGACGGCAATTATTTTTTTAAACACTTTTCCTCAAAGCATTGCTTCTGGTTTATGTGGACAACACAGAAGGAACCGTAGCAATATTGTTATTATTACTATTATTTTAGGACCCCAACAGATTTTTCAGAACAGTCCCTAAGCCCCAATGCCGGGTGGGGCCGAGGAGTGCCCCAACATTCACGGTGCCAAGCCTCGGGCAGAGTCACCCCATTCTTCACTGTTGGGAGTGAAGTTCCGAGCCACCCAAATCCACTGACATCAATCTCACTTAAAACCCCCCAAATACTGTGCTGCGCTAAACGTGTAGCTACAGTTAGGCGCAGCTCAGTAGGGCTGGCGTCATATTTCTCTCCCGTAATCATTTCAAAACATCTCCTCGTTTGGGGAAGGGTTGCAACTTCCATTTCCCAGCAGGTCCTGGATGGAAAATCTCTGAGTATTAACAGGACCCAGTTGAGCTTCAACTGGTTAAAGATCCTTTCTCAACAGCAATTACATTAATTCCATTTTTTTCTCTCATTTAGAGCTAGTCAAAGCGTATCCCACCACCACCACCAATCCCAAGAAGGGAATTGGGTGGAGAGAAATAGCAGTAATATCAGGCGGATCATTTCTAAGACACTGGCTGGAGAAGCCTCCGTGCTCAGGAATCCCCAAGACCAAAGGCCTCCTGCGGCTTTCCTCCCTTCCTGGAAACGTTTACTCTGGAAAAGGGGAAGGGGCGGCCCCGGGTCCTACACAGGCGGAGAAGCAGTAAAGGCTCAGGGAAGACGGGCCAGGATGGGGGAGGTGCAAAGTGTTTCCCTAACAAAGCGCTCCTCCGAGGGGGAGATCTGGAACCAGGTTTGGGAAAAGGCAGCGGGAAAATGGTGTAATCACTCGTTAGTGGATGCTCCCAGCACAGCTTTCTCGCCTCGCACCAACCCAATTACTTTCCCAGGGAGCCTGCCAGGGTTCCCACACTGCTATTTTTAAAACTGACAAGAAACGGGCTTGTCGGATTGTCAGCCCTGTACTTACAGACCCGGGGGTTGCTCGGGCTCGTCCTGACGAGCCGGTGCCCATGGAGCATTAGCTGCTGGGCCGGTGCCCAGCCAGGCGCTCACTTACTCAGGGCTTCCTCTTAGCCTCAGGGCTGGGCTGGAGGAAGGGGGCCCCTGCAGTCACCAGTTCTGGCCTAATGGTAACACCCCCATCCCCAGACTCCACCCAGGCGCCCAGGCCCCCCTAAAGACGGTCAGCCATAAGGAGCAGGAAACACGGATCAAGGATGCACCACCTGCCCCCCCCCCCCAGGGGTGTCTGGGTCTGGGCAGCCCCCACCTTCCCTTAATGAAGTGCAGGCTCACAGGGCTGGGGCTGCCTGCTGCTCTGTGGAGCCCAGGGCACTTCTGGGGACCAGGCCCTGCGGTGGCTAAGGGGTGGCATGAAGGCTGCAGCCAGGAGACCCCCGCCTGCCCGGAGGTACAAGCAGCCAATGAAAACCAGCCTGGCCCACACCTGTACCTGTGGCGGGTCCTGATGGAACAAGTGGAGGGGGAAGGAAAGGCCCAGAGCTAGGGGAGGAAATCAAGAAGACCAGGCTCCTGACTGACTCCAGTAAGGCCTCTACGTTCACTTTTAATATTTGCTGGGCAGGAGCTGGAAACGACTTGTCTTGAAGTCACCCAGACAAGCTGTAATGTCCCTTGTTTATTAAACCTGGCCCTGCCCCATCTGCAGTGGTCTACCTTTTCCCTCCAGTCTCTCCCTGCCCTCCACGTACGGGGCCAATTTTAGATTGTACGTGGGAAGCTCCTGAGGGGGCTGCAGCCCAGCACCCAGGCTCCCTTGGCAGGAGTGAGAGGTGCTGCCCTTCAAACAGGCGAGTAAAGACTTAGCCCAGAGGAATACAGGGCTGGGGCTGCACCCAGGAAAATCCTATTTCCTACTAGGGAAGAGCTTGCAAATAGCAGGGTGGGGATGGGAGGCAGCTCATCAAAAAGGCAATGAGGCCCGGCCGATGTGGCTCAATAGCTGAGCGTGGACCTGTGAACCAGGAGGTCATGGTTCTATTCCCATGAGAGCACATGCCCATTGCGGGTTCAATCCCCGCATGCAGGTGGGGGGCATGCAGCAGGTAGCCCATCAATGATTCTCTCTCATCATTGATGTTCTATCACTCTCTCCTTCTTCCTTCCTCTCTGAAATCAACAAAAATATATTTTTAAAATAAAGGCAATAAGGTCTGAGGACTGAAGGGTTGAGGGTTCAATTCCTGGTCAAGGGCATGTACCTCGATTGCAGGCTCAATCTTTGGCCCCGATCGGGGTACGAGTAGAAGGCAAACAATCAATGTGTCTCTCTCACACATCGATGTTTCTCTCTCTCTCCCTTCCACTCTCTCTAAAAATTAAAGGGAAAATATCCAAAGGTAAGGATTAACAAAAAACAAACAAACAAACAAACAAATAAATAAATATTTTTAAAAGGCAATGAGGACAACCTGCCAATCATAAGTAAACAATCTGAAGGTCTAGCTCAGGGGTGGGGAATGTCTGGCCTGTGGGCCATGTATCATTTGGTCTGGCCCTGCCAAGGCATTAGGGGTGAGTTAATTAAATGTTTGACCAAATTTAGCAGGCTAATTTTTAAGTTGATAATTTTGTATGGCTCTCGAATGATGTTATAAATATCCACATGGCCCTTGGCAGGAGAAAGGTCCCCCACCCTTGGAGCTGCACTGTAGCACGAGGGACACAAATCCCAAGGAGAAACTCAAGCTGAATCCAATAAATTCAGCCAGAATTTTCTTGGCCAAGAGCAAGGGTTTGAGCATCTTCTCAGTTGGAGAACTCAACCTCTGCTGCAAAGTCAGAGCTGCAGACTGCTCCGTGCGGCAGATGCAGGCGGTGAATGCTTCCTGTCGGGTGATGCTGACCTGGACATGCCACCACCTGCCTGGTTAGGGCAGGGCAGGAAAGGCTTCCAGTTAAAGGACAAAACACTTTTCAGCCAGGCTATGCAAGATCCTAGGTGACCCGCCTCAAGTGGAGAAACCCCACCTCCGGCAGGGCCACCCAAGAAACGAGGGCCAGTCGCTGGAAATAACAGATTCTAGGATGCAGGCTGACTCATCTGCCTGGGGACCCACGAGCTTGTTTACTTTCCTCTTCCAATACAAGAAGCCGGTGGTAAAACCTTCGCTGATGAATGAAACACTTCCACCAGAAGACGCCATCAGACAAATGCCCCCACGGGCGTACAAACACCCTGAGGGAGAAGAGGGGGTCTTGGCTCTCACATCTAACCATTGGCTGGTATTCAAAGTGGGGTTTGCATTTCATCAAAATAACCACAGCGCCCCTCCCGGCCTGAGCAGTTCCCAGGACTGCAGCCCAGTGAGGGGGAAAGAGTGTGCACAGCCTCACAAGGCCCCGACCCCCCCAGTTAGATATTTTTATGCACCCCTCTATTGAAGTTTCCAGAAAACACTGCGTTAGGGGTGTTCAGCAAAAGGCCACCAATCTACTGTATTATCTCCTAGGCCAGGATGAAAACACAAAGTCTTTCATCTTGCACTGGGCCCCGGGGAAGCACACACTACAGTCCTTCTATGTCCCTTAATCCTGTGACACAGTCACCTGGAACATCACCACCATCCTAAGGTGAAAAGTGGCCCCATCACCCAGTAAGCGGAGGATCAGAAGCCAGGCCTCTGAGCCGGCAAAGGCGAGGCGGGGGTTAAAAGGAGCTGCTTTTCTGCGTCTGCTGGGTCTCGGGCTTACTGTCTAAGGGGGATCTCCACACACAATACAAACACAACTTCCACAGAGAATGCAAACTTCACCGCAGCAAAAGGACCTACTGCGCGCACCGGCAACACAAGGTTAAGTCATTTATTTAAATGTACGCAGTGGAAGCCTGCGTATAAATTATTAAAACGCAAACGCAAATGGAGAAGGAAAAAATAAAACAAACGAGCTGCTTCTCAAGACCCTCTTCCTCCCACCCCTAGGCCCCCAAATTCTGCAGACCACAACGGGCACAGCAAATGTAACTGGGGTGGCCGCACCGCCAGGCCCAAGCGCCGACGCGCAAGTGCCCGGGCGCCCAGGAAGCCCGGCCCCGCCAAGGACCCAGCCAAGCCGGTGCTTCCGACCGAAATAATTACCGTCTTACACCAATTTGTGCTCCAACGTAAATTAGTAAGTGAGTCAAACGGAGTCTAACTCACTCACAAAGCCCAGATCCCCACACGGCAATTTTGCTAAGCCGGGCGCAGACCGCAGCGCCAGGGGTTCCGGGAGGGCCGGACGCGCCGCCGAGGGACGCGGGTCCCGGCGCAAGTGGAGCTCCCGACCCTAAAAACCCGGGGCTTCGCGGGACGCCAGGTAGCACCACCGGGCACTTGACGCCGTTTCGGGCAAACGCGGGCCCAGGAGGTCGCTCCCAGCAGCCGCAGCTCGGGGATCGGCGCGCGTAATTAGACCGGAGCGCCCCAAACCAGCCCACTTTGGGCAGGCAAACCGCGCGGACACCGCGGGGCGCTACGGCTTCGCCCGGCGCTCGGTTTTCCCACCCGAGGCTGCTCCGTCAGCGACGCAGGTGGAGAGAAGGGGACCCCTGGGACCCAAGCACCCCCACCCCAGTCCGGCCCCGGCGCCCGCCCCGGCTCCGCGGCGCCCCGGCTTGGGCCGCTGACCTGTCGTCGACGTGCAGGACTCGGCGAGCACTGGATGGCGAGCCACGTCTTCC